GCCTTGTTCTTGTTGACTTGGCACCTTCTTTGATCGATTAATTGGGACGCAAATGACGATGTAATTGATATCATATCACCTTTTCTGCGACACCCCCATCAGGCAGTTGAGCATTCTTTGTACACCGGGGTGGTTAGGTTTGCAAAGGTGGTCGAGTACTACGATCCGGCCCAATGCCTCCTACAGTTGGGGTGTCAGCAAATGATATCGCCTGCACATATATCTCCTTCATGAGCAGAACGATGTGTTATCAAGTATGATGTTAACCAGAAATTTTTTGGATGTCATTCTATCTCATATTATGATGTTCATATAGATAGATACTCCCAGTACTGCCAGGTGTACCCATGGGAGAAGATGCAAGATAATATGGAGTAGTTTGTTACTCTTTCTCACCCTAGAGTTCTCAGACTCGATGACGGAGTGCTGCTAGTTGACTCTGCAGTGGTTAGTTTACATTCATAATGTTTTTTTCTTTGTTTTCTTATGTTATTATTTTAGAAATTTATATTGAACTTACATTTATCTATATTTTGTTATGTTGCAACTTGGGCACGACCTTATGTACAACCTTGCTCCAGTAGTGTATGGTGGTGCGACAGATGCATATGACTTTGTGGAGCACGCATGATAGCACACACGCAGGCTACACGGGGATTTCGAACAAATGGAACTAGTATTGGGACACATTGGGCTACCCCTATCCTCCACATTAGTAGACTTTTTCCAATTGTTATGTTATTTCATATTAAGATTTAGTTTTAGTGTTATTTCATTGAATTTTAGTCATGTAAGTTCATTGTTTACTTTGTCTATGTTGTTTGGTATTATGACCTTGTTTTAGGTGTTGTTTTATGTTGCTTGATGCATTAGTGATGAACAAACTAATAGTCATAGTTCCCATAGTGCAATAGTTGTAGTTTCTCCTTATTATTACACGATGACAACATTATTACAAAACAGCATTACAACCACACTCATTCATTATCGATTGTCTCCCCCCACGACTACATGAATCTCTTAGTGCTCAATACCCAAGTCCTCTCCACAAATCCCGTCCTTCGCGGAAACACTGATCCCAGGCTGCTACATTTTGAAGCCTTGCTCCAATCCATGTTGGATATGGTGCCATGATGAGAAACATATCATGGTTGAAAAATAGGTGCAAATAATGGTCTTATACAAAGTGGAGTGCTACGACCCCTCCTGGTCGAGTGTTTCTAGCTTCCGTATCTGGAGGTAATACGTTGTAGGACCCGAGTGAAATGTTGGACATATCAAAACTTGGATTGTTGGAGTCCCATAATTGATACACGTACACAAAGACATCAACATGGTATCGGTTAGCAAATGCGAACAAGTCCTCAAAATTCATCTAATGTCCCGGATGAGCTTGGTCAGTTTCTTGATAGTTGACGCAATAAACTACGCCTTCCCATCCAACACCTTTTACTGTTCGTGTATATATGTTCTCGTACCTCCAACAGTGTTTCACTATTTCATATGCAAGGTCACCTCTGATACCAAGTAGTGTGTATCGTCATTCTATAGGTAGTGGGCTAGTTCTCGAAACCCGCAGTGTCCATCATGACTCGTGTCTAAATGACACTAGAAAAATTTGGTCCATATGGGGGTACTGTTGTTGCTTGGGTGGGGTCTGCCAACTTGTATCCAAACAATAAATAACATAATATTAAATTTTGTTGTAAAAATGAGGATTAACATGTACGATAAACCAAAAAATTAGACAAACATGGATGCTAGTCATCATCGTGACCATCAGATGCAAAACCTGAAGCCTGTGTTCAAGTAGACCGTGACTTGATGCTCGTCGAGTTGGGTGTACTGGACTTACTTTGAGGTTTTTCAAACCACGAAGGATTGTGTTTGGTCCTAGATTGCGGCCACCCCATTCGTGTCTCATCACCTCCAGTTCCCTCGTGTATTCCTCTGCAGGGTGAAGTCCATAGAACATAGGGTCCCTAGCTTGCCTGACTGCCTCAAGCTCTCGCTCCTCCACTTCCATGACAAGCACAAAATAGACCATGTGTAACAGAAAAATGGCAAGCAAAATTTTCCTTGAGCTTGACCACCCCATCTAGCATGAATTTGATGGCCTTTGATCTAACCTTCTTCCTCAAGCGTGTGTACAGGGGGCCCAATTGCTCGACTAAGATTGCGAGTGAGGGACTGGTGAAGTTCATGCTCAATTTTCATGTGTTGATTCTCAATGCAGTTGTGGTTTTTCATAGAAAATAGTGTCAACCGTCTCTTGAGAAGAACCAAGGAACGTCTTTAACAACGAGTGAGAAGATTGTACCCTATTCATAATCGTGTTCCCAAAATGGTGCACATCCTTAATGTAGCATGTTGCACACATCCTTTTACACCGGCATCCACTCCATATTCACGTAATCTATAAGATCGGAGTTCTGGAGTTTGGATGAGAACTCAGCCATTATTGCATGCATTCCTTGAGGTGTCAATGAATGAATTACCTTCTTCAAATACTCATCCCATATTTTCACTACTAAATCTCTCTTTGACTTCCCTCTCAATAGGGACTCAAACTTTGCCTCCATGTTTCTATTGATGTACCACAAACATAGTAATTGTCATGTGGACGGCTCCGAAAATATCTAGGGAACAGAAGCAAGTAATCTGTGTTATTTGTCTACACAATGGTATCTGGCACCCAAGGATCGAGCAAATGTTTTAAACATCTAAGCAACCACTCATACGATACTGTTATTTCCTTTATCACAAGTGCACATGCAATGTTGAAATTCCTTCCCACTATAGTAAACCCGACGATCTCAACCCATAACTTGTTGTACCTATTAGTCTTGTAGGTGGAGTCAATGAGGATGGCGTATGGCCATGCATGCAACATCTGAATGGACTTCGGATTGGGAAAGAATAGGTGGGTGAGCACATCATTCTCATATTTTTGAAATTTCACATTGCAATTGAGCTCCTCAGCTCCTTGAAGCATGTACTGAATCACATCCATTTTGCCCATATCATCTAATCTTGTCTTGGTGTTTAACTTGTGGATTTGTCTGAAGTCGTCCTGAACACCCTTTTCATCATTGAAATCTTCTGCTGAACCGCTTTCACCCCTGCCTTCTTCTTCACTCTCTGCTTAGATTTATCCTCTACGTTAAATTTCTTGTTATGACTGTGATGTTATGGAAACAACACATTCTCATGGTTGTTGTGAAACTCACAATTCATCTTAGTTTCCTATGATCTCACCTCTGTTAACATAAACATGTTTAGGCCATCTTTTTGGAAAATTTCCTTAATTCTGATATGGAAGTGAAAATTTGATCCCTTTAAACTAATATTGTATCGTTGCTCCTTCATTGGGTCTGGCTTGTATGACTTCTCAAACCTTCTAGCTCTATCACAATACATGAAGCATTGTACTAGTCGATGAATTCCTGTCTCATATGGTTTCCTCCAACCCCTTATAATAAAGAAACCATGTGATTCATCGATGCTTTTTCCGCGGTCTCAGCGTCATCAAAAGATGCATAATGGATGCCATTAACACAATAATGTGTGTAATCGTCAATCACGTTGAAATCGCCGACATTTTCACTACAATTTTGATCAAATTATAACACATCAAGATTCATATTCTCATATACTACTAAACATTTATAGACTAACTAACTAACTAATAAACAAACATAGACTAATAGACAGTCATGGACAACTAATTAAAGTACATTCAACTAACTAACATTCGTATTTATCATAATTAAACAAAAACTATTTCTAAATTATCTAAAAATTCCAACTTTGTAGTACTAATTCACGTCATATTCAACTAACTAATCAACATTGTAAATAATAGACAAATTTTATTAATAACCATAATTAATTTATGAGAAACTGAAACTGTTAAAAAAACATAGTCAAGCCGAAGAAATCGCCCGACCATAACCAGGACGGGCTGAAAGAAACGGTCAGCCGGTGGTAGGATATGCCAATTTTTTTTACCCGTCCTGTGTCTGGCCGCACGGTTCCTTCGACCCCTCCTAGCGCAGGCCAGTTTATTTTTTTGGCCCGTACCTCTACCACTTCTAAATCTCGTCGAAAAATAACGTCACGAAGGAATCTTGAAAAATACCTTGTTGGTGGTGACTAATGAGGCATTGGGAGGACAAATGGCGAAAAATCAAACGACTTTACCTCCTTCAACGACTTTGATATCGACTTTTTCGGTGAATATTGGTTTTGTGAAATTCTGTGTGTTGGAAAAGTTGGTATGTGATAGAAGAAGTTATGAAATTTGGTCCACCATGGTCGTATTTTAATAAATTGGTCTAGGGATAAAATTGAAAAGTTGATGGTAAAGATTTAATTGGCGGCATATAGTATGCCCCAGATTCAAATCGGAGTAGCATAAAAGTCAAAATAAAGTTGGCAAACAACTGACGTGATGCACCATGATGGTATACTAGTAAACACAACTTTTGAATGTTCAAACTCTTTTTTTCCACAAATATATTAAAATTAAAATCAGTATATTAATAAAATGGAATTTTTATTTGTATGAAGAACTTTTGATTTCAAATTCAAAAGAAAAAAATATGACCGCGGTATGGCTTTATAAAAATTGGATACGATTGATCGGCATTAAGCGGATCCATGGGCAGAAATCAGAAATAATGCCCTGGAGTCTGCACCAAATAGAAAATGAAGCAGGCAGGGAGCGTGAATTTAGTAATTACCGTACCGTTCCCCGATACAAAACACCCAAATCTTTTTTTTTTTTTTTTAAACGCATCCATAATCCATGTCCTTTAATTTCTTTTGGGCTGAAGAAAATCCAAGGGAAAGAGGAAGAAGAAGTCTCCCGTTATCCGATAACACCAACCAGACGTGGCGGGCACATGTGATAATGTCCGCTGCAGGCATCCACCGATCCTTTGATTCCAAGCTCCATGCACCATACGTTATGTCAGCCGCATTCAATTATGTCGGCCAGAAGCTAGCTGTTCACACCGATGGATGCGCACATATACGCCGCTTAGCTAAATCTATTTAACCTCTCTACGGCCCCCCTCACACCAACTCACCAACACTATTACGTACACAGATAAACAACCTCACAGATCGACGTGAAAAGGGAAGAAGAAGAAGCAGCAAGGAAATGGCGTCTCGCTGTCCTGGTAAATCTATTTACTCCTTCTCCGCGTGTTCCATAATAATACGTACACTAGTCTTGGTTCTGTGATCAAACTTTGATGTCTCTTCCCTAGCGCCTATAATAATGATACACGCGTGCGTGTACGTGCAGGCAAGAACTTGTGGCCGGAGCTGGTGGGCAGAAACGGGGACTTCGCAGCGACGGTGATCGAGCGAGAGAACAGAAACGTGGACGCCATCGTGCTGAGGGAAGGAACGCCGGTGACCCGGGATTTCAGGTGCAACCGGGTCTGGGTCTGGGTCAACGACCATCGGGTTGTCACCACCGCTCCTCGCGTTGGTTGAAAAATACTACCCCCGCCGGCGGAGGGATTGGGCTACATATGTAAGACTCGTAAGAATAAAACATACTACGTACTATTAGTGGTAGAAATAAAACAGTGGGTACCAATGTGATAAATAATAAATTCTAATAATAGTAGCAGCAGTGTCTCCTCGGACGGACAGCTTGTCCTATGGATTATCATGTGCCAATCAAAGTTTAGAATTTGTGTTGAAGAACATGAACGCTCAGGTGCTGCAAAAAACGAAGCAGCTAAGCTAGAGCACCCTCGCCGGCCGGTGAAATTGAACTAAAGGAACAAATTACAGCGAACAGAATGAATGATGGTCAAAAGAAGGGATGGAGTATGGCCGTTTAGTGATTAAATGGTGAAGAACTGAAGATGGAGGGAATTTTTTACTCCCACCATTGAAAATATTTTCCAAGGATTGAAATACCGTGTACCGGCGATTCGACTAGAAAAATTTATTAACGGAGGCTAAACCGGTAGATGGTATCTAGCAGTATAAAGCGGTTGAATCATGGTTAAACCACGGTTTTAGCATAAAATACCCTATTGCTAACTTTTCCTGTACAACCTCTGGTACTGTATTTCAATACTTAATATTTTCACAATACAACTGTCACGACTGTTGCTCTGCGGATCGGGAATAGGAGGATTGAACCATGCAAGAATCGAAAGCGCGCATACACATGACACACAATTTACGTGGTTCACTAACACACTGTTTGTCTGCGGATCGGGAATAGGAGGATTGAACCATGCAAGAATCGAAAGCGCGCATACACATGACACACAATTTACGTGGTTCACTAACACAATGTGTATTGAAGCAGCTCAACATCAGCATACCGTTTGTGGAGGCACTGTTGAAGATGCCCAAGTACGCAAAGTTCATGAAAGATCTCCTCACCAACAAGAAGAAACTTGGGGATCTCTCGACAGTGCTGCTGAGCGAGGAGTGTTCTGCTATCCTGCAAAACAAGCTGCCCGAAAAGCGCAAGGACCCAGAGAGTTTCACTACCCCTCTTACTATTGGCAACATGCATGTAGGCAAGTCCTTGGCGGACCCAGGCGCTAGCATAAACGTCATGCCATATAAGTTGTTTAAGAAGCTAAACCTAGGTGAACTTAGCCCTACTAGGATGAGCATTCAGCTAGCTGATCGTTTCGTTGTGCATCCTAGGGGTATCATAGAGGACATGCTTGTTAATGTGGGTGCATTCACATATCCTGTTGACTTTGTTATTCTGGATATAAATGAGGATGTGGATGTGCTTTTGATTTTAGGGAGACCATTTCTTGCCACCGCCAAGGCACTTATTGATGTGCATGATGGTAAACTGATCCTGCGTGCTGGAAATGAACAAGCTACCTTTTCTGTGACTGAATTCGATCACTGTGCTATGATTGCTGTCACACCTGTGCATGCTATTTCTGACCAGGTACCCGAGCCTGTCGTGTATCCTTCTGCATCTCCCCTTTTGCAGGACCCTCCTCTCACCCCTTCGCCGCCACTCCATCCAGCCTCGCCTCCGAACAAAAAGATCAAGGAGGAGTGGTGGCAGAAGCAGCAGGTTGCTAAGCCTGCACGGAAGAAAGGTGGAGACCACTACGAGCTGGTTCCACCTCCTGTACCACGACCACCCTGGCCATCCGAGTACTCACTCGCCTGCATATTGCCGGATGGCCAGGTCGAGTTGACCAATACTGGCGGTCGCACCCGTCGGGTGCATGGCCACAACCTGAAACTGTACCTCAAGAGCGACGTGGATACGCTCTTGGAGTCAGGGGCGGAGCTAGGAATTAAAGTTCGGGGGGGCCAGAGTTAGTTAGTACATAATCGCGAAAATATTTATAAAAAAACTATAACGACAAAACATTAGTTAAAATAATCAAAATAGAATTAATTTAAAGTATTCTAGTATGCGATGTTCAAAATAAATTATTATACTATGAAAAAATGATCATGCACTTTAACATGTAATTTTTTCAATATTATTATACCTTGAATATGAATTTATGATTATATTAGTGTTTGTATGAATTATTATTTAATTACATATCCAAGACACATCCATGAAATATTAATGTAAAAGTTCAATAACTTGACTAACATTATTTGAAATCATAGGATCTATAAGACTAAGCAGGGAAATTGAAGAACAGGAAAATGGTAGAATTAAACTGAAAATAAAATAAATAAATAAGTTAAAATAGTTAAAATCATAAAAAAGTAGCTGCCTACAAGGTTCGAACGTGGTACCTGTTGGTAGCAATTTGACTACAAATCCGGCAGACTATAATCAGATTATGTATTCAATGTCTCACTCGGGTTTTAAATACATTTGACGTTGATTTTATACGTAGTTCTAGAAAGTTCCTGGGATTTTATACGTAAGTTTCGAAATTCTCGGGGGGGCCGGGGCCCCCCCGAGAGCCTACATAGCTCCGCCCCTGCTTGGAGTCACCTGTTCCTGCACCCTGCTGAGTATCCACCATGGGCGTCCAGCTAAAAGACGGTAAAGAAGCGCTTGTGGGGAGGCAACCCCACCACGGTTTGCATTTCTTTTTCCCTTTTTCTGAGTTTTTGTGTTGTGTCGAGTCAGTTGCATGTCTGTGGTGAAGTTCGGTCGTCTGTGATGCCTCGATTTGGTGTTTTCGTGCAGGAGAGGTTGAAATTTTGGGCGAATGAGATTTTTGGCCGGTTGGGGGGAAATACCCGGTCGTGGGCCAAAATACCCGACCGGGTATTCTTGGTCCACGATCGGGACCCCCTCTATTTCTCGGGGTGAAAAAAGGGGAATCCCCGACCTCGTCCCAAAAATACCCGATCGGGTATTTTTGGTTCAAGGCTGGGGATTTTCCAGGACTGGAACGCATCGTTTTCAAAAATAGCCGACCTTGACCCAAAATTACCAGACCGGGTATATTATTGCACTCGACACGCTGCGTTTAAGAACCCCCGGTCGTGGAATCAAAAATACCCGACCGGGTATTTTTGAGACCCGACCGGGGATTTTTGCTATTTAAAGCAAACCCCCGGTCAGTTTCTCTCTCTACCCTCATTTTTTCAAAATTTTCCCTCTCTTCTTCTCTCCAAATCCTCCCCCCTCTCTCCTCTTGGCCGCCGCCTCCGCCGCCACCGTCGCCGGTCACTTTGCGGCGACTCTCCGGCGACTTCCGGCCATTTTCCGGCGAGCCTCCCGGGTCATTTTTGGCTCCCTCTCGCTTCCCTCACCCATTTCTAGAGCCCTAGCTACAGTTCTACTTGCGTTTCCAGGTGTGTTTCTTGTTAATTACTCTTTCCCTGGAAAATCAAACTGTAGATTGTAGGACCGAGAACTGTGTTTGCATGCCTGATTTAGAGTAGGGTGAGGGAGGCTTTGAGTATGCATGGTTCTATCTATGGTGTATGTGCTGCCCGTGTAATTAATGTGGTTGGTTTTGTGGTTCTTGCCTTGATTCCGGTTGAGTTGCTTGTGATTTAATCGGCTGTGCTTATAACTGTTAGCCTAGGTGGTCCTTAAGACCCATGCTGTTGGTCCTGACAAGTTTTTCTTGGCTCCACCTTTGGTTTGTTGATTTTGCAGGAGCATGTCCCTCGACCATCCGTTTGTGCAGGGTCTGCGCCTGCACCCGGATTACGCGGACCAGTTCTGCAAGGTGACTCGGGGGAAATTGGAGCGCCACCACCATCTCGAGTGGGTCGTGTTCGAGCAGCTCTACTGCATGCCGGACCTCACCGCCGCCATCAGTCACCGCGATTGGCGGACGCTGCTGACTATCGCCGAGCCCACCTACACTGAGCTGGTGTGGGAGTTCTACACCACGTTCCAGTACGACAACAAGGCGGCCCGGGACTCATATGCAGTGAAGTTTAGGATGGGCGGATACCCCCGGGAGCTGACCATTGACGGGTTGGCCTATGATTTGGGGATCGAGTACCACCCGTTAGACCGCCACGAGGTGGAGGTTGCACACCCGACGGACTGGAACCAGGATGAGTTCTACCGCCTCGACTATGCCCAGGACTTCTTCGACCCTGGCCAGACATATGTTCGCTCTCTCAAGCCGGCGTGGCACATCTTGAACCTGCTCATAACCCGCTCCATCGTCCCCAACGTCACCGGCTCGCACAAGATTCCGAAGCGAGTGCTCTATGCCATGTACTCGATGAGGGACCCGGAGCATATGCTACACTTGGGTTCTTTCGTGGCCACCACCTTCTCCCGGTGCCACGGGAAGCCCAAGCATCTCTACTGTGGTCCCCTGATCACTCGTCTAGCGCGCCATTTCGACATCAGCCTCCAGGGACTCCGTGATTCTTCTGCACTGGGCGGCTCCACCCCTCTCAACCGGGATATGCTCCACAATGCACTCCTCCTGGTCACTGATGGCACCCGCACTTGGGTCGATGGGCTTTCCCTCCCTCCTGAGGAGGCTGTAGATCTCGATGAAGACGAGGAGGACGCTGACTACTCCAGTGAGGAGGAGGATGAGGATGATGATGATGATGACGGGGCCACGGATGCCGATGCGCCGGAGCCCCCGCTCTCTCCACCAGGGGACCTTCAGCCTCGACGGAGATCAGAGAGAGGCGAGTCCTCCTCTGGTCCTTCTGGTCCGTCGATGGCCTCTGGACCGTCGATGGATTTCTTTACAGAGCAGTTCCAGCAGATGGGGCTCCAGTTCCAGCAGCTTGGTCTTCAGAACCAGCAGCTCATGGATCATCAGGTCCAGTTCTATCAGCAGTATTCGGCCCACTAGGCCGAGTACCAGTCCAGGTTCGCGGGTGTTGACGAGCGCCTTGGCCGCTTAGAGACCCATATGGGAGTCACTAGTGCTCTCATCGGGAGGGAGAGAGATCGAGGCCGCCGATTGATGGAGTACTCGGAGCACCTGCTCCAGGCTTGTCACCCCCCAGAGGAGCACCACTGGACCACCCGGTGGGATCATTCACCACCACACCCACCACCGGAGGATGGAGACGACGACCTTATGAACCAGATCGACTTCACCGGTCTCGGGGGGCCCTAGTGGCATGTTTTGAGTGTTTTTGTCTTTGTCAGCATGCAAACTGTCTTGTGTCGGTTTAGTTTCTTTCTTTTTATTTTGGATGCTGTACTATTGGGCTGACCATTGGACCTAACGTATTGTGTTTGAGCTCTTTGGTTTCCTTTAGCTGTGCTTATGCCTGACTGGTCCTCTCTCCAGTCCGCTTCATTCCGACTGGTCCATTTCCAGTCTCCTACAGTCCGTGCACACCGGTAACATCGTTCCCCTTTCCTTCCCTCTTCTCCAATGAGGGAAATGTCGATCTTAAGTGTGGGGGAATGTTTATCTTTTGA